TAGCCATATGCAGGGCAGTCCTGGGGCGGGGGGTGGGAATCGGGGTGACTGCCCCGGGCCTTGTGCTGTGGGGGGCCTCACAGAGCTGGGTGGAATGGCCACAGCAACTCCATGCTGCCGCCGCCAGCTTTGCATCCAGCTGCTCGCCCCAATTTCCCACCCCACCAGCAGCGGCAGCTTCTTCTGGTCTGGAGCGTGTGGGATCGGGGAGGGGTGGGGCGGGGCCCAGCATGGGCTGATTTGCCCCAGTTCCTTCCCCACTGTGCTTCTTGAGGCGTGCTTGCAGCCATTGCTGGCAACTAGCTATGCTGGGGCTCTGGGCCTTGCAGCTGCCTGCTACAACCAGCCTGGACTCTGGGCAGGTCCCTGCCACCCGGCACAGAGGCTGGGATGCTTGCAGCAGGTAGCTGCAAGCAGTTATACCGCAATCCGGAGCCCTGGCCTGACTCATTAGTGGCAATGACTTCACATGCACCTCGGGGAGCACCGTGGGGAAGGGGCGAGGGCTGCGCTGCCACGAGAAGGATTGGGCCCCTCATGGCTCCCTTGCCATCTGCCCCTGGCATGCCAGTATCTTTAAAGTCCAGTTTGCAGGGTGTTTTGGTGCGCAGCCCCAAAATGTTGCCAGACCCTGTCCTAATCTGCCACAGGTAAAGTAGGGGATGCAATGGCCAATATTCTGCTTCTGTAAAGGTTGTTAAAATATGCTCAACTGATCCCAGGAAGAGGGCTGTGCCCCCTGCTAAACCTCCACAGTTCATACCAATCTGACCAGGAGGTAAAATTCCTTTCTGACCCCAGATATGGCAGTTGGTCTGACTGTGTGTGGAGGTACAAGACTCTCTGGCTGGGAACCTCCAGGCTGAAGTGCCACCAGCGGTGCTGGCATGTAGGGCTGTGCGAAGCTTCGGGCCCTGATTTGATTCAGTGGAGATTCAGCCTGATTTGGTGGCCGAATCACCAAATCCAAATTGAATCAGGAGACCCTTTAATCTCTCTGAATTGAATTGGAACCCTTCAAATGGATTTAGAGAGATTCGGAAAGATTCAGAGATTTGGACATAGACACAGTTTTAAATGTTTTTTCTATATACCTCAACGTACCAGGTGGCTTGTGAATGCTGCAATGGTGGGGTGGATGGAGCATCCCACAGGAGCATGGGGGGCTCCCCAGCGTGCTTGGCAGCAGACCCAGAAGTGGACCAGAAGCACCACTTCCAGGTCCACCAGAGAAAGCGCAGCACGCTCCCTGGTGGACCCAGAAGTGGACTGGAAGTACTTCTGGTCCACTTCTGGGTTTACCACCGAACACGTGGGGGGCCCCTCCGCACTCCTGTGGGACACTCCATCTGCCCCAGCATCACAGCGTTCATGACCCGCCTGGTACTTCGAGGTATGTAGAAAAAACATTTAAAGCTGTGTCTATGGCTGAATCGCTGATTCTCCGAATCAGCATCGAATGTTCATATTTGGATTTGGCCCAGTCAAATCAGGGACAGTGATCCAAATCAGCGAATCGAATCACTGTCCCTGATTCGGACAGACTCCAAATCGAATATGGCCTGTTTCCCACGCCCCTACTGGCATGTCCCAGTCAAATTCCCCTGCCTTGGAAGAAAAAGAAAAAAAAAGAACCCTGAGACAGGGGGAAAGGGAGTGGTGGAAATTCCCTCTTGAGCCCTACGATACAATCAGCGAAGGCCAGAAGCTTGGGAAATACCCACAGGAGAACATAGGCATAGCCACATCTAGATCAGCCCTGCCCAGTGGCTGTCCAACCTCTTGAACATCTTCAGTGGTGGGGAATCCACAACTTCCCTAGGCAGTATTTTCCACTGCCTCACAGTTCTAGCAATGAAAAAGTTCGTCCTGATATCCAAACCTACTTTGCTGCAACTTCAAGCCATTGCTCTGTAGCCTGCTCTCTGCAGCAAGAAGGAAAGGCATTTTCCCTCTTTATGTGCAGCCCTTCAAGTATTTGAAGACTGCTATCATGTTCCCCGTTAAGCATTTTTTCTGCAAACTGAACACACCTATGTTCTTCAACCTCACCTCATTTGACTTGCTTTCCAAGCCCATTATCACTTTCATTACCCACCTGTGGATGCTCTCTAACTTCTCCATATCCTTTTAAAAATATGGAGCCCCAGAGTGCATGCAGTATTCTAGATGAGGCCTAACCAGTGCAAAGAAGAGGCACTATCACCTCCCATGTCTTGCGCCTAATGCTTCATAGAATCATAGAAGTAGGGTCGGAAGGGACCTTGTAGATCTTCAAGTCTGACCCCCTGTCTGGGCAGGAGGAAAACTGGGCTCAAGTGACCCCAGCCAGGTAGGCATCAAGCCTCCTCTTAAAGACCCCCAGGGTAGAAGCCTGTACCACTTCCCTTGGAAGTTGGTTCCAGATCCTAGCCGCCCTAACTGTGAAGTAGTTCTTACGGATGTCTAATCTAAACCTACTCTCCAACAACTTGTGGCCATTATTCCTTGTTATCCCGGGGGGCGCTAGGGGAAACAAGGTCTCCCCCAAACCCTTCTGGTCCCCCCCTAATGAGTTTATAGACAGTCACCAGGTCCCCCCTCAGCCTTCTCTTGTGAAGGCTGAACAGGTTCAGGTCCCGTAGCCTCTCATTGTAGGGTCTGCCCTGCTGTCCCCGGATCATGCTTCTGTTGATGCATCTCAAAACTGCATTTGTCATTGGTGTGGCTATATCACATTTCAGACTCGTATACGAGTCTGCAATCTACCAAGACTCCCAGATCCTTCTCTGTAGTGCTGCCATCCAGCCAGGTATCATCCATTCTGTATTTATATTTTTGACTATTCCTCCCAAGGTGTAGCACTTTGCATTTGTCGGTATTGAACTTCATCTTGTTAGCTCCAGCTGAGCTTTCCAATTTCTCAAGTTCCTTCTGACTTGTTCTCCCATCCTCCAACATGTTTGTAGTCACTCCAAGTTTTGTCTCCTCCGCACATTTGCTCAAGAAGCTTTCTATGCCAGCATCCACACCATTAATAAACATGTTGAACAGCACTGGGCCCAGGGACAGAACCCTGTGGGATTCCACTCAAAACCTGCCATACTGACTTGGATCCATTTATAATTACCCTTGCCTTGTGGCTATTGAGCCAGCTGTCTATCCACCTAATAATAGTTTTGTCTAGCCCACATTTCTCCAATTTGTTTTTGAGATGATCATGTGGATCCTTATCAGAAATCTTGCTGAAATCCAGATAAACTACATGCACAGCATTCTCTTTGTCTATCCAAGTAGTTATTTTGTCAAAGGTAGTGATCACATTCGCTTGACACAATTTGTTCTTAGTAAATCCATGCTGGCTGCTTGTGATTAGGCTTTCATCTTCCAGATGCTTGTTATTAGACCTCCTTAGCTATGCTTCAGTAATTTCCTAGGTACTGAGGTGAGGTTAACCAGTCTGTAGTTCCCTGGGTACTCCTTGTTGCTTTTTTTAAAGAGGGGTATTATGCTGACCCTTTTCCAGTTCTCTGATACCTCACCCATCTCCCATGACTTCATGAATATTATCGCCAAGAGCTCCGGGATCTCCTCTACCAGTTCTTTCAGTACCCTGGGCTGTAGTTCATCAGGCCCTGCTGATTTGAATTCAGTCAGGCTCATCAGAATCCCTCTGTCTCTTTTGTTATCTCACCCCTCAGCTTGTCCCCCTCCTTACCCATATAGTCTTTATTTGATGTCTAATTGCAGCTAAATTTTTTGTAAAGACTGAGGCAAAGTAGCTGTTGAGCAGCTCCACCTTCTTTGCATCTTTTGTTATGAGTTCCCTGTGGCTATTTAGCAATGGATCAGCAGCTTTTCTGGTCTTTCTTTTCTGGTCAGCCTGCTTACAGAACCTTTTCTTGTTGTCTTTAACTTCCCTCCCCAGGTGCTGCTCATTTTTTTTAACCTTTGCCTTTTTGATTTTTGTCCCTGCTGGTTCTTGTATTTCCTGGCACGCTTCCTTGGTAGCCTGTCCATTTTTCCATTGCCTGTATGCTTTTCGAGGCATTTTAGAAGTTCCTTGTGCAACCATATTGGTCTCTTGCCATTCTTCTTGTGCTTCCATCGTTTCTTGTGATAATTTCTTTGCAGAGAATGAAGTCTCCACTCTTGACAGAATTGTGGTTTTGTCTTTCCACTGCATGCACCCAGCTCCAAGATCTTGTCCCTTTGCATCCCTTTGCTTCCTGAACCAAGTGCAAACTGGAACCTGGGAACCAGTAGCCTACAGCTAAAGGAAGGTGCTACTGCCACCAAGAGTGGGAGGAGGGATTACTGAATCGGTGCCTGCCTAAAGCTGTAACTTTCTATAGGTTGTTTTATGAAATTTGGTTGTTAAGGTTTTTTCCAGCTATCATTTGATCAGTTTAAATGAAGTAATCGATGCAATCAGTCATAACTGTTTCCTTTCACTTAAACGAAAAGGATAAATTTTAGCCAAGATCTTTATCTTCAAAGTTATATAAACGGTGCATCTGAAACTTTATCATGGAAACGTCTGTGAAAGTTTACCCTGAAGAGTAATGGGTGAAGTCGGTTAACCTGAATAGCTAATAATGACTCCAAATACTGTCTGAAAACTGACATTTTGAGGTGCAAGCAGGAA